TGGCTGTAGATGAATCAGCAGAGCGTGATATTTGTAGACCAGCAAGCATTTCCATCAATTTTAGCTGCTGTTCCATTAGTTTCTCTAAACGCAGTGGGTCCATCTTCAGCAAACCCGTCGCCAAATTTGTTATGTATGTGAATATGAGGACCTTGTAGACTACGAGCGAATCTAACTAATGCGCTGGCTAATCTGTCTTAATCGCACGTCAACAACCACAACAATACCGCCGGGCACGCAAGACAAATAAAAGAGAAGACTGGACGTTGATATGAGAGCTTTTACTGTCTCAAACAACAGTCGAAAATGTTAAACAACAACTCCGTATTTATACAATTAGAAAAATCAATGTCACCTTTTAAAAATATTAACGACCTTGGGGATTCAGTAATTTAAATCAATAATCACGCAGATGCGTGAAATCAATCATATCATGAAACTCACATAACTTCCCACCTTCGTTTAAATACATAAGTAATAAAATGATTGGACGTATGAATGACCAAGAGTTTGTTTGTAGGGATTTGATTTGTTTTGAGTTTGACCACGGATTTATATCAGCGGGAGAATCACCATTGAGAACCACCAGGCAGTACTGGACAGCTGTCTCGTCCTGGTGTTTGAGACTCACCAGCAGTAAACACCCATTGTCAGGGTTCAAATGCAGGACCTTCAGACTACAAAGCAGGCTCGTAGATCATTCAGTCACTGGGACCCTACTCAATCGCCCAGTGGACGCTTATTGCCGATGAGTCCCAAGCACTAGTACGAAACAGTTGTCCAGTACTCCATCCTGGTTTTCAGTGGTTCTCTAACTGATATAATTCCATGGCTAAACTTGAAACAAACTGAATCCCTACAAACCAACTCCCTCTATCTATTGACTGGTTACAAGAAGAACCTGAATGTAGTTCTAGTGAGAAGTCATGACCAGTGGGGTCGATCCAGTAGGGAGTGAGGATGACATTAGCTGGTGGTCACGCAAAATTCGCGAAATGGTAGAAGTTAGAATTCATGAGCTGGCCACTGAATCGGGTCCTAGAGGCTAAATAGTCTACGAGCTCTCCTTGTAACCTGAAGACCCTAGGTTTGAATCCCGGTGGTGATTGTGTACTGTCAATGAGTCTGAGACTATATCGAAACAGCCTTTCAGTATTCCCTGGTTTTCAATGGTCAGTTCTCTAAATAATACCAATCGGTCGTCAGACTTGAAACATATCGACGAATAAATAAAGTTCACAGCACATGCGTGAAATAGACAAAGTACGTTCAGAAATGTGAACGCAATAAAATGAGGAATAAGATGAATATTGTCAGTAAAATATTAATAAAACCAAATGTTAGAATGTGATCACGTAAACTGAAATAAAACAACACAGCTTTCGCTAATACTACACCTTTCGAAATTAATTCTCTTCCTTCTTATAGATTACATTGGTTCTGCCCTTCTTTTCTGTTAAGTCTTTTGGTTTACATATTATAAGGTGAAGAGACCATGTCGGTTCGCAATTCATAGCTAACCCAAATATTCTTGCAGAGATTTTGAAAATGTTCCTTCTAATGGACAAGATTGTTTTGTGTTGGTCTATTTAGCTAACGATGGACATCTTCTAGTGGAGATTTTTGGTTACCCGTTTTTCTAAAAGACTCTCATAAGGTGTCTATGCTCGGTTCTTTCCAAGAAAAGAGTGCTGAAGTATGTTTTGGCACTTCTGAATGATGCTCATATACAGTTACTGTTGTGTGCTGTTGTGTTGCTAATGTTTTAATTGAGTATTTAGCCCATATGAGTTGACTTTCTGAATTTTCGTGTACTTCCTGTACTTCTTGACTTGTATATTTGGTATTGACGAAAACTCTGGTGATTAGTTTGTAGATCGTTTCTAGACAGCTTCTGTCAATTATGCGAATACATCATCCACCTAGTGTACTCATTTTATAAGAAATCCCTTGAAGAAACTCTCATGTTTGAACGGTGAGCCAATGTTAACGAATGTAGATGTTGTAGTTTGCAGGGACTAAGTAAATACACAAACTTACGAATTCATGGAACATTGGATTCCATCCTAGTGGATGAATAGCCAACGACCTTGCTTTGTAACCTGAAGCTCTTGGGTTTGAGCCCCAGTAAGGTAACGCGTGCGCACAGATGAAGAGTAGCGGACTTGGAAGAAACTGTTGTCTAGTACTCCTTGATTTCCAATGATGGTTATGTAACCGGTATCAGCTTTTGGATATTCTATCCTTTGACCTTAGGGCTTATTTGTTACACACGCAGAACTGTCATTTGTAATTTGAAAGGAAGGAATTTCAATTTCCATGTTACCTTCACAATTCTTTTATTAATTATCAAACTATATGAGATAGTATTGCAGTGGCAGGATACTAAAATCAATTGAATGTGATATAAAGCCTCTGGTTCGTGGCGAAAATCAAATCATACATCAGCAGCAGCCTACTAATCTGTGGCTTTCGTCAATATTTTAACTATCAACTAACAATCTTCCCGTATTCTTCTAACTAAATGCGATTAAGATTGGCATGAGGAGGCCCAGTTAGTCAGTTTTTCAAGTGGTAAATGGATAGTTGAGCACGATTCATTCAAATGACAGCTAGGTATCACCACTGATGATCGTAGTGAAATGCTGTATTGAACAAACGCCTGTGACAACTGGCGCTGATTCTGTTTTAACAAAATACTTTAATTTATACGAATTATGATCAAGATTTGACCGGACAGTTCCACAAATGTTGGGCACCAAGTGAAAAGTAAACAATTTCAGCGAAATTGAGAAACACAACTGCAAAGTTTTGTTTGACAAACTGGTCCCAACTTCTTCAGGGACACAAAGTATCCGCTTCACTACCAAATCATAAGTTGAATTTATTGAATGTACGCAAAAGCGAATAATTGGCATTAGAACAACTAAAGGAAGGTCGATCAAGTGTCCTTACAGCAACACATAAAGGCAATACCACGATTGCTATGAACTCTGTTGATTGTGTGAAGAAAGATAAGAAGCACCATAATACTGGATCCTTTGAGAAAGTCAAAATGACAAAGTCAAGGAAAATTTTGATTAAATTTAAGCCTGAAACAAGCGAAATTTAGCTGACAAAAACGAGAAACCCGGAGAACCACTATGGTTGTCACTGGCACTGAAAAGTTGTTGTTAGCGTAGATTTTATGGATTACTTAAAACACAGAAACCAGATGTTCCACTGCACCCACTTGTGGACTTTAATAATCGTCGAAGCTAGATGCTCTCTAAATACATTTCACGAATACTAAACCCGTTTGAATTTTAGAAGAGAATTCCCTGTTTACATTGAAGAAGATGAAATAATGGCAAGTTCCGATGTTTATCCATGTTTATGCATGATATCCTTATTAAAGATTTTTTAAAGTATTATATATAATTCACTTCGTCCAAACAATGAATTCAGTGTTCGATGTCCTCTAAACACAGATTAAATCATGAAGGCATCGTAACTGTGTCTACGCTTCACCTTTAGAGAGGTTCTTTACCGTCAAACAGATGGTATTATTACGCGATCACTGGTATCTGCATTAGCTGCTTAAATTTTTACAAATTTAATTTTTACATGTGTCTACTTTGATTTATCTTGAACAAAGACCAAAGGAAATGGCTGTAGAATACTTAACATGGCATATTTATTTGAGTTAAATAATAATTCCTTTTTTCAAAAGCGTTCATAATGATAAAAACCACTTCATGTGTCCGTGACTTATTGTTTGTGTGCTGTCTTCACTGGCTCGACAGTGAGGTTCAGATGATCAGAAAAAATGAACAAGCAGCAAGGAACTTTGGCAATGAACCAGCGGACAGCCTACTGTTCAGCAAATATGCAGAAGGGAATAGATATGGATATATATTCTGAATAGACCGTTGACTATAATTATGAGTTAAACCCACGATTGCAAACATAATGAGAAGCAGTGAGATAGTATAAAGAGGAAATGAAGATTTTTGAACACTGCTGCAGCCAGCTGGAAGCTACGGCAATAAGCCGTATGAAATGAAGGTATTCCACTGAGTTTCTACGTTCCGCCTGGGACGCACGAAACGTACAACAACACTGATTACGTACAATAAATATTTCTCCAGATTAAGAAAATACTAAAATACCTTTTATATCGTAATTGTAGGTCTACTGATGGAGACGACTTCAAAACATCCTACGGTTGGCAGTATTTTCTTTCAATTGGAACGCATGAAATGTAGAAAAATCACAATCTTAGATGTCCTAAGAGAAGGCACTAATCATATGCCATACTTAATTATTTTACCACCATGTTTTATAGAATAAACTCTTGAATTGAAAGCTTACAGTATTAATCTATGCAACGTACGGTACTATAGGGCTCACACAACTGACCTCAACCTGAACAAATGAAACTGATTTCAGAATTGATTGCCTTCACCACCTTCAGTATTACTTCCATACAAAGAAGAAACGTCGGAAACTTTACGGAGAATTCCTAACAATGCAGGAATAAAAGTGGCTGGCATTCAAACTCATAAACTCAATTAGAAACAAGCTTTGTTGGTTAAAGGAACCTGTGAAGCCTGCAAACACGTGTAGTAGGAATGATTCAACACCTGTCGCAGACATCTGGAAAATTCTACTACACCTTTGGCGAATAGGAAGGAATTAAGAAAACTGTAAAACTCAAGTTTCGAAGTCGTATGATTATAACTGATGTGATTATGGACAATAATAGATTGTGTTTGAAACCTCGTCATCCAGTAAATAATACTGTCTCACTGTGTTAATAATGGAACTGCTTCCACTACATCAGCTAATAACTTCGACAAAGAAAGAATCCCAACAATAATAATTAAATTTTTTTATTGGTAATTAGTACTTTGAAAATGTCATGCAAAACATCGATCTTCATTTAATTATTTCAAATGAATTATACAAACAGTTAACTAAGGTACATTGTAAAATTTCCTTAAGGATGTACTGGTGGCTTAAAAACCAAGAATGCCTCTTTTCATTGGTTTGTCATTGTGATGGGGTTTCGGTCCTGGATGTTTAGGTGGCATTGGCTTTGGATGCCTTTGTGGTTGTTGTGGCTGTTGCTTTTGGCATGAAGCGAATTTCGCCTTCAACCCTTCCACACAACGTGTCAAGACAGTAAGTTGTCGAAGTACCTCCTCAAGTTTGAATAGCACATCACCTTCATGACCATCACTGCTACTAAAAGACACTGGTTGAATAAGATCACCAGCTTTTTCGTGTTCTCCATTTAATGAATCTTGAAAACTATGCGTATCTCTTTCTTCTACTTCGAGAAGTGGTGAACCCCCTGAGTTAGGGAATATTTCGCGCATATGTTTTACTGCTTCCTCATCCGGCAATTTCACCGTTCTACTTTGAACTGTAATTTCTCTCGAGACCCAATCACCAGAGTGACTCTCTTTTGATGAGTTACCTTTTGGAGTTTGCCTCACCCCGTTTTTTGAATCGGTGGGCACTTTGGAAGGGTGCTTATTTTGGGGTAAATCTTCTCCGTTTTTTGTCGGCAGAGTTGGTGTGGTGCTAACATCCTGGTTGTCTTCATTTGACGATAAAAAATTTTGGTCTGTTGATCTTCTTCGCTTACTGTCCTCGTTTTTTGCTTCACCATCGCTGTTATTATTTTTGGTGCTATTATTATCTACTGGGTTGCTTTTTCCACTCTGATCACCCATTACTACACTTGACAACTGACCGTCTACAATTCCTTCCGCAACTTGAACTACTGCTTCCACATCTTCTGTGTCTATTGCATCACCTAGCTCAGACATCATCGGCTGGACGTTTTGTACTAGTTTTTCTTCATCACTGGTCTGTGGTGCATCATTTGTCTGCTGTGTGTCACCAACAAACAATCCACTATCTTCTTTGTCATTCAAATTCTGCCTTGACGTATCAACATCTCCATCGGTTTGTAAATTAGGTGGTGGTGTCACCTGCATACGCATATCTACCGATGTCTCGTCATATGAATTGTCGTCATGAGCATCGTAGTCCAGGGAATCATCTCTAGCTGTCTTGCCATTCTCGTTTTTAGGAGTTAAATCATTTTCTTTATCTCTTCTTTGATCGTCATCAAAAAGTATTGTCCTATTGGAGTTGTGACTTTCAGATCCACCGTTTCTGGGATGACTTCCGCCCCGATTTAGAGGCGGATAAGATTCTAGTTCATCACTTTGTTCTCCATCATCGGCCGCTTCACTAGACCCATTTTCGTCCTCTTGTTTGTTACCTCGGTATTGATTTAAATCCAATATGCTGGTAGGTATATCGTCATTAGGATAGGGTGAAGTTGAGGAAGCTCCTTTTCCATCTTCTCCTGATCTTGGTGGAATGTTTTCCATACTGTCACTTTCATTTCTCATACCTTCACCATCAAGAACTTCATCAGAAATCTCCTGCCTCCTCTCCATAGCATCTTTTTCTTGCAATGCGCTCTCAAAAGCTCTGGGCATCATACCTAAAGCAGCTCCAAAATCTCCAAATGACATGAAAGATGTACCGACAACTGTTTTTGATTTCTCATTTTTTATCTCCTCGCCTTTTACTCCTTCGTCTGTTTTATTTGCTGGTTTATGTGCATAGGTAATAGGTGAATTTTCCGAAGGTTCATTTTTAGTGTCACGATGCTTTGTCACATTGTTTTCATTCTAAAAATGAAAAAGAATGACTTAATATTTAGTCAAGTAATTCGACGTTCTAAAATGTTATGTCTATTAAAAGCGGATATCTTAAAGAAAAACAGCAGGTCGAAAAGGGAATGGCAAAGTTTCACAATGGCGTCCCAAGGGATGCGCGTATACGAGTAACCTTGAGCCGACCAATCAGAAAAATGAGGGATTTTTGGACCAAAACTTACGTATATTTACATAAAAAGCATGAAAAAGCATTAAACAAGGTAATTTTCTCTGATATGGGGTAAAAACATGTCCCAATGGAGAGTGACAGTTTTTAAATTAAACCAATTTCTATACATGTATTCATCCAGGCGAATAAAAATAACTTGGTTTTGAGAGCCATTTATTGCTCTTATTCTATTTTTTAATCTTCCCCAGAAACCCTCTATTGAATTATTATGAGTGCCTGTTCTGGGATCAGCGAAATCATCAGAATGGTTAACTCGATGGTGTATGTATCCTAAATCAAATAATTGGTTATATCCTGCCCACTCCTGACACCACTTGTGCGTCGGTGGCACAGTGGCTAGGATTGTGGTGAGAGCTGGCTGCTAGCCAAAGTTGGTAGACAGTAATTGACGTCAATGTTTACGTCCCCAATATTGGTGGTGAGAAAATGAGAACAAAGGCTTTGCGTAGGCGGATACAGTTAGCATATGGATGATCTGACACAGCCACAAAGAGATGCAAGATTAAATTTCTGTGAGAAACAACCAATCAAAAGACTGTATTTTCTACTAACAATAATCCACAATAATGTACATTAAAATCTATAAATATGTGTTGATTTTCCTTAATAAACGATCTGTTGCTTGGCTTTTGTCTTCTGTTGTTACAGGATTCTAGCCGACCATGCACATGGTCCGGGGTTCGATCCCCTGATAACACCTGATAACAATGTTCAGCCTGCACAATTTGGGCTACCGATATCACATGCTGAAAATGCCATACTTGTACCAAAAACACGGTGTAGAAACTAGCAAAATCAAAAAAACAATCTACATGTGATAAAAATCCCTTTACTGCTTTGTTTTTACGTCATATTGTTCATTGCTTCATCCTGTCTTGCTGGACTTGACGCAGTCCAAACTATCAGGAAAATGAAACATTTTTCCTAACTAGACCTGATTGTTTAGCATTAGCTATCCAGTTAGTCGTCTTTATAGATAAATGTAAATCTTTTACCTGCTTGCCTGATTATAACTCATGTGAGCAGTAGAGTGGTCTTCACTGTTTTTTTAAGTAAACAATAATTCAGGTTCTGGTTTGATTGGTTGCAGGATTTCATCACGAGCTGACATCTGTTAGAGAACCATTGGAAAACCAGCATGGAGTACTGGATAGTCAGCTGTCTAGTTCTAGTATGGGACTCCTAATCAGTACTCACTCACAGCCAGGGTTCGAACCCGAAACCCTCTGGTTACAAGTCAGTCTCATAGACCAGTAAGCCATTAGGATCGAATCAAATGGCCAGTACATGAATTTCAACTTCTACCAATTCACTATATGGCGTGACCACTAGCAAATGTCACCCACAGCGAGTATTTGTCCTCACACTTGCTTTACCTCACTGGTCACGACTTCCCACCAGAAACCATGTAACTACATATTTGAATACGGCCAGTCTGTAGTGAACATCTGAATCCGAGTTAATTTTTGAACCCTGGTTAGTGTGTACAGTCGAAGAGTTCCGAAACAGGACGAAACAGATGTCTAATACTCCCAGGTTTTCCAATGGTCCTCTAACCAATGTCAGCTGATGATGAAATTGTGTAAACACCAATTCGATCCTTCACTAACAGTTCTATTTATGGAACAAAAATTTCTGACGAATCTCTCTTAGATGGTTAAAATTTGATCAACCATTTACGTAACACAAAAAAGTTAAAGCTGAAGTTTTCTTAACTCAGCTAACTCAAGTATTACAAGAATTATCAAGATGGATTTTATTACGAAGAAAATCCTCTTGAAGAATCAGTGGAAACCAAGAAGTTTTGTTCTGTTTTAGGACTTTTCAGAAGTACTTACTCATGATACTACCAGCGGCTCAGCCTATAACCTTTAGGTTATGAGTTGAGCAGGTTAACCACTTGGCCACCTTGTAGTACCCCGTAGGTTGTGGAATTTAACTCCTCTCAACTCACAGCACAGCTCCACTGTCATACAGCTTGATTGGTGGGTACCTATCCTCATACTCGATTTGATGGATCACACACCTAACATCTTCTTACTATGAATTTCAGGAACTTCCTCTCATAATGACTCATTAATGATCGATGGATAAGTGTTGAAGTCTTGACATGGTGAAGATTTTATTCGTGGCAAAATAGTGACATTAGTTAGAGAAAGAATTGAACATTAGTTGAATTCTCGCAGACCCAAAACCTGCACACAAGTAAACTTATTATTAGCAATAGATAGATTTCATGATGTATTTATAAAACCTCAGACTGATCGATGGAGGTATCAGATACTTGGAGGCATAGACATTTTGATTCAAACTCATAAACTGAATAATATGTCTGTAAGGTGACCTAGGCTTTATTCTTAATTTTATTGTGATTAGAAAGTCTCAAACAGTTGCTTTCTCAATAAATCTTTCAATAGATGTCATTCCATGATAAAACCTATCTCAAGTTCTATTTTTAATTATTAGAAAGCCAAGCTTGATCACCGGTTGACTTCATTTAGGGAACCATTGAAACCAGAGGATACTGGACAGCTGTTCCGTCCTAACTTGAGACTCTTTAGCAGCATCACCGTTTAAGAGGCGAGCTCACCAAAAAGTCAGCCATCGGGGTCCGATCCAGTCACTTATGAATTATATTAATATTATATTATTGACCCCTTGGATTCAAAGAGGAACACAGGGCTTCAGTAGCACGTCTCGTTTTTGTCCCTCTTACTGAAGTCCTATTCATCAGTAATCACGATTGGCCACAGTCTTTCATCTCCTCTTCATACCATCTCCTCCACGTTACCCTTTGGACAACCTTCTCGATGGTTCCCATTCAGGCCCCACTCGAGCGATGGCCTGGCCTGCGACGTCATTCGATAGTTCCGTCAGTGTGTGCCCATTCCATCTCCATTTTCTCCTACATATTTGTTGAGCAACAGATTCTCGTCTGGTTTCTTCCCAGAGTTTCTTGTTGCTAATTCATTCTGTCTGGAGCCAGCAAAGACAGCTGTTAATAAAAGTCTGCAGCCTGTTGGAAATGCTTTTCGTCACATGCCAAGTTTCTCACCCATCTAGAAGGATTGAGTCACCAGACATCAGTGTTTAAAATCCGAATTTTTTTCTTTACGCTGTGGAGTGCATAAAATTTCCAAATTGATTTCAAAGTGACAGAGGTCTGCCTTACCTCTCTGATTCTGACCAAAACGTCCTCATCCGAGCTGTCCGCCTGTAGTTGAAACAATACTTGCTAGATAATTGAAGGAAATTACCTCTTTCTACTTTCTTTCATTGTCGTTGCTGGTTTGTAGCCGTCATCACCCCGGTTTTCTCCATGTTCACTTGAAATTCTATCTTCGCTGGCTGCTCTTTCCATTAAGTTGGTTTTCGCCAGCAAGTCTTCGAGTTTGTTTGATATTAAACACAAATCATCTGCAAATTCCAGATCTTCTGGATTCCTCTTATTGGTCTGGCTTATTCTTGTCTCTTCCATCGCCACAATTTGCCACACAATCCAGTCCATCACAACTAGGAATATCATAGGTGATATTAGACAGCCTTGTCTGACTCCTCTTTTCACATCTAAGAATTTGTTGAGTTCTCCGTTGTGGATCGCCTGACGCGTGGCATTGTCATATAGCCAGCTGTTGAATGAGGTTGATAAAGATTTGGGGGACGCCATAGAGTTGAAGTAGTTTCCATGAATTCCAACTTTTGCCAATTCGTGACACATATATAGCTTGATTGTTAGTCAATGTCATTAGTGACTATCTGTCCTCAAATACCCAAAAAAAGCAGATTTTCTTCCTGAACAACTTTTCTGAATATTCTAGAAGCATAAATCTCATTATAGATAAATGAATATGTAAATACTTGAATATAATCAAGGAAAAACCTATCAAACCTCATTTTCACTTCTCAGTAATATTGAACAATCTCATCGTTAACTTTGCCTAAACTCAATGATAATTTCCAATCAGTAATGTAAAGCTAACAGTATCAAATCAAATCATTTATCATTCCTGACACAGGAATTTGTACAGATTCACTGGAAGCTGGGCTTAGGGAAGAATGTCATTCATAAGAATGTAAACAGTATGCTAATCATTTGTAAAGTGAATTAGTTTGAATGAAATAACTTAACTAAAGATAAACAGTCAAATTATTCAAATATTCAAGGTCATACGTTTCATTAAAGTAATCCTAGAATGACCTTAAAATGTTATTTCTTCTTCCCAAGATCATCGAATTTACTAATAACATTTTCCTATTACTTGCGTTAAGCAGAAAGTATTTATACGACATAGTAATGTCACATTATGCATGCATATAAATATCACAAATTGGCAGAAGTTAGAATTTCTTGGCTATTGGATTCTTTGCCAGTGGCTGAATCGTCATCGACCTCGCCTTAGAAGCTGAAGGTTCTCGGTTCCATCTATGATAGGGTAAATACTGATGCCTACTGCTGAAGATTCCTAAACAAGAAGGAAGCAGTTGTTGAGTACTCTTTAACCTTCAGTAGTTCCATAAATGATATCCCTTCATAACGTATTAAAAATTAAATTCATTAAGGATTATAGAAACCAGAATTTGATAAGCAGGCTCTTCAGCCATCGTTCAAGGAAGCAGATTTACCAAATTTATTTGTAACTTAGTAATCTCAAATCATTCAAAGGAATGAATTTTCATTTTTTTTTTCATTTTTCATTTACAGCTTGATTCCACACCGTATTTTCAGTACAAGTATGGAATTTTCAGCATGGATATCGGTTAGCCCAAATTCAGGCCTACCATAGATATCGGGTGTGCGCCGGCAGGGGATCGAACCCCGGACCATGTGCATGGTCGGCGAGAGTCCTAACCACTGTGCCACTCGTAAGACTTAAAAATGGATGAAGCAGCAGTCAGGGAAGACAGGACTTCAAATGAACATAGAGAAAACGGTGGTGATGACGGTTACCAACCAACAACGATAACAACCAGAACCAGTCACTATCAATGGAAGAAATTGGAAAGAGGCAAATTTTTATATTCTTTTGATCATGTCTTGATTCCACACCGTATTTTTGGTACAAGTATGGAATGATATCGGTAGCCCAAATTCGCAGACCAACCATTGATATCAGGTGTGCGTCGGCAGGAGGTGGAACCCCGGACCATATGCATGGTTGGCGAGAGTCCTAATAGCTGTACCACCCACTCTCGTCTAGGAAGTGTTGCTTCAACTACGGGCGGAACGGATGAAGATTTCAAAGTGAGAACTGGAGTGGCAAGGTACACATTCAACATTCTGAAATCTGTTTTGAAACCTCCTACACTCAGCCTCAAGAACAAAATTCAGATTTTGAACACTGATATCAGACGACTCAGTCCTTCTATGTGGGTCAGAAAGTTGCAATTCGTGTCATGGAAAGCATTTCTAACAGGCTACTGCAGAATTTTATCAATAGCTGCCACCCTCTCTGGGTTCATATTGAATATCGAATGGCCAGCTAGATTGAATTAGCAACAAGAAACTCTGGGAACAAACCAGACAAGAATCAATTGCTCAACAAATATGTAGAAGAAAATGGAGATGAACTGAGCACACACTGAGAGGACCGTTGTTCGAGTTAGACCTGAATGCAAAGCATCGAGTGGGTCAGTGGTGCGAGGGTGACATGGAGGAGATGAGAAACTGTAATGAATCGTGGACCCAGATACAAAGGAGATCATAAAATAGAACAAAGTGGAGATGTACTGTTGAAGCCCTATATTCTACTTGGAACCAAAAGGAACAATAATAATAATAACTTTAATACCATACACAGGAATGAATACCACTCTTCAGTTTAAACTGAAAGATCAAGGCGAATTTACTTACATCTAAGTAAAATGTCTAGGAGGGGACAAAACATTTATAGATATAAATCTTGAGCACTGTCATATGCTTTATACAGTGACGCACTATACTTATTGATCATACTGCTATTGCAGTAGCTTTGTAACTTCAGAATATGAGGTTTCACAGCTCTAGTGAATCTCCATTTTGACATAAGCAGATTAGTTTTATGGTTTTTTACTTTTTTTCATCCTATACTGTAAGTAAAACATTTTGCTACTGATTTTACAACTATTCTTTTTTGATGATAACGAAAAGGCAACGTGTTTGAATGGAGTTAAGTCACCGTAGGGAGAGAAATTCGGCTTCAGTCTCATACAGAATATTATTGCCTAACTAGAATGTATCATATTCCTGTCAAAATTATCTCGACATTCTCGTTGATTTATTTTCCTCGACCAAGATGTCAAGACTCTGTCAGTATATCAGCTCTTAATCCCGACACTTCACCGACGCCTTAAGGTTAACATGATGTCATTTGGTCGGAAGCGGTTAGCAGTGGAATCCAGAAGTTATTGTGTTCCCCCTGATACTTCAACCTATTACTCGACGTTGGATAATATTTTAATGCTTCATCGGCTTTGAGATCCAGTGGTTCCCACTGGATGCTACCATTTATTGTGGTCGCACTTACATCCAATCGAAGAATCTCAAACAGGACGAAACACGAGTTCTGAATTCCACTGTCAGTAAACCTTCTCCAATTAGTATGTCAAAAAGAAGGAATAAATTCATTGCATATTGAAATAAATTAATCATAGAAAGGAAATTACCTGTTCAACTACTTTACTGCAGTATTCTTCAGGATTCGTATTTATATCCTGGTAATCGACACATTTTTTGGTTCTGCAGTATGCACCATCATTTTTACAAATACAATCACGACAGCCATCATCAAAGCTGAAAAAAATAGTGAACATTCAAGAAAAAAAATCAAAGATATTAAGTTTTGACAATCCGTTAGCCAACATAGCTGAACGTATGATTTTAGAATTATTGAAGTTTCAATCTCTTATAGCTAAAAGACTTGAAGAAAGAGGGTGTCACTGAATATTGACAAAATTAATTTATACATTCAGCGACATAACAGCTTGAGTAAAATTTTGTGTTCATTAGGATGAAATTCAAAAACAATAATCGCCATCTCCAAAGGGACAGTAATCCCTTTGAGACTGCCGATACACCTTCCAAACGAGTACCAGCAAGCACGACACCTAGGTCCAGGACTTCCTGCGATTACCTTCAACCACCTAACGCCAAATGTAAGTTATACAGACACAAATAACATCATAGAAAAAAAATGTCTCAGCCTTTTGCGAACACAGGGAACAGCAGTTAACAGCTGTCAATTTGTATCCTGAATTTTATTTTCAGGTTCCCAGGTTTTTCAAGCGGATCCAGAGTAATCATCGAATGTTGGTTTACAGGGATCTGGTTGGTTACAGGTTTGATCGTGATCTGACATTAGTTAGAGAACCATGGGAACACCAGAGAGTATTGGACAGTCCTAGTTTAGGACTCTCCAGCAATAATCATCCACCGTTGTCCAATAGAAGTCCATATTCGATATTTTACCACTGGATATATTACACAGTGAAACAGTATTATTTCCACTTCTGTTCCAGCAGTTTCTGTATTCTACTGTTCTTATATGATGAATAGATTCTCATCTGAAGTTAACACGTGTTTTCAAACTGAATCCATCTAAATATCACATTGCTGAGCTTAGTTTCAGATGTGAACAAGAATTGTGTGAACTGCCGATTCAGTCTCATGATTCCTGTAATATTGACGGCACTGCCATACGGAGTAAATTGAATATCTCTCATCTAGGCATCAGTTTCTCTTCAAATCTTAGTTGTTCGTCTCATATCCTGTTGATTTCTACGGAGATTTTTCGTTTGTCTTATTACATAAAGAAGTTGAAACTTTCTGTCAACATAACTTAACCTCTTCCCTAACAATTTATTGAATAATGTATTCTTTACATTCTTCTTTGTTGTTCACCATTATTCTTCCCTGGACTTCTCAAAAAAGACTTTTTCATATTAAGTAGAACACTAAAGGTTGTCAGCAGTCAGGGTTAGTGGTGTGCCTCTGACACAGCTAACTGACATTATTGTTAATAGATACTTAAATTTTTGCGAGCATTTGGCTAAGTTTATCTAGCCTGATACTGGACATCCCCTTTATTCTCAACTTTTACCTTGTATCTCTTTGGGTAAAACCAGAAGAAATTTCATAAGAATTTACGCTCGTACAACTAAATATAAAAATTCTACCATACCACCATATTTAGCAGGGAGGGTTGCGTGAAGAGACAGTCAGATGTCGGAAAAGAACTTATAAACTTTCAAATCAGTAAGTGAACTGCAAAGTATAGTCAAAGATTATTATTATTATCTACTTATAATTCATTATGTTTCCATAAACATCCTATTTATAGTGGTTTCATTATTAGTATCATTACCGTTATTAATTATTTTAAATTTATGCATTTATATATTTATAAAAGGAGCTAAATTGTTGCGATATGTATAAAAAGAACCTTGAAAATTCCATTCTTTAAAATTATTATTTTTTGGAATAAAGTGATTAATATTATTACTGGATAAGGAAGTTTTGAACACAGGTTATTGTCGATAACCACATTAGCTGTCGCAGATAACTGGAAAATTCTACTAATCTTCAGACAAATGAGGAAAGGAGGACAGGAACTATAAGAGCCAAGTTTCGATGTGATTACGAACCATAATTAGTGCGTTCTAATTGTCATCCAGTAAACAATACTGCTTTACAATAGGCATGTGATATATCCAACAAGCAGAGTAATAATAGTATTTTCGAGAAAGATTCAAACTTCAAAGGTTAAATCAGCAGCACTTTCTAAATTTATTCCCCACATATAACCGAATTGCTGATCACATTAGCAAAGTGAAACTAATTACATTGCTCATAGTCATAAAACACTTAAAACAAAATGTGTATCTTGGATTCCACCGCTAGTCACCATCCACCAAATTACTTCAAGTTAAGTCTTTAGATATAATCGAAGCATCTGCACAAGGAGCCGAGATGTCAAATAGAGACCGGGCATTCCGGTCCATTCAATCAGCAGGAAAGTCCAAATTGTATTAAACTTATTCTTGTGTTTTAACAATTAAAGTGATTTGAATAGTACGTTAATTTATTTTTCGATCTTTTCTGAAATAACAGACTTTTCATGAATGATGAACATCAGTTAGTTGCAATTTGGTTATTCAGGACGCATTCCTTATGTACTAGAATAGGAGCCAGGCTAATTAATGTGACAACTGATGACACTACTTAGTTGCTTAGAACGAAGTATTTGACCCTTATGCCAACTAGGTGGAAGTCCAGTGAGTACACCAATAAGTAATGAACATCAATGACGTTTTGTTTTAGAATTTCATTTATACGTTTATAACTTCTTCAGCACTCAGCATCAAAATAAGATCCGGATTTTCAAATCCAGTGTGAAGTCAGTGGTACTATACGGATCAGAGATTTGGCCAGCGCGTCATAAAGAGCATCTCAGAACAAATTACAGACCTTCATTAACAGTTGTCTTCGCTTAGTACCACTCAAGATCAGATGGCCGGCCAGAAAAGATCAAAAACAGAGGTTTCTGGAAGCGAACCAACCAGGAACCGATTGTGAAACGAATGGGCAGGAAGAAATGGAGATGGATGGCCTGGCCATACTCTGAGGAAACAAACCATCAAGTGACATCACTAGACAAGTCATCGCTTGAGTGGAACCCGATTGTATTGGAATCGGCGAGTTGGTCGGCGGTGCAAGGGCGGGGTGACTTGGAGGAGGTCATGTGAAGAGGAGATGAAAACGTGTGGGCAGACTTGGAGCCAGGTGAAGACTCTAGCAGAGAACCGAACGCAATGGAGACGCACGGCTGAAGCCCTATGTTCCTCTAGGAATTAAAGGAAACAATATAATAACTTCTTCATAACTAAGTCGTTCTTCAGACAAGAAACAGGAATATATTCAGCTAATCCTGTAAAAGTGCATAGAATCGGGGAAGCAAGACACGTATTCAGTACTGTGAACTCAATGTGGTGATACACATTTTCAGCTTCAGTGTTAATCAAGCTAGAGACGGCGTGTGTATCAGAGAAGGCATTTCCAAAAGTCTACTTACGACAAAATTCTGTTAACACATTCCTTCACTCATTACTGGAAACCAGATAGTCCGCCAGAAAGTATAAGCAAACAACAAAGAACTGTGGAAATGAATCATCCAAAAGACTATCGTCCAAGAAATATGCAGAAGGAAGTGGAAGTGGATTAGACATTCTCTAGGAAAACATTAGAGTGAAATCAAACTCCGAGGTGTGGAATGGGATTCGAACGGAGAACCAACAGCTGGGCATCTGAGCATGACATGAGGATGATTATTTGTCTATAAGATGAAAGCTTGTGTGCACGGATGGAGCCAATTGAAAGCGGATTTGAGTGCAATGGTAATGTGTCGCAAAGAGTTAGTAATGATAATAATGATAATAACGCTGTAGTATGATTTGGGTACTCTTGCTTGCACGTTAACTAAGTGATACCTTATTGCACCGAGTAAATTTGAGGTGATTTTTAAAGGCTTTGGAACCTAGAAGTACTTAAATCTACAGTGAATGGAATCAACGGAGTCATATAAATAGAAATAGTAATAATCATAATGATAATAATAATTAGTTCCTCACTTCTGTGTAAAACTAGCAAGACAAATTGTCAAGTTATGAGACATGGGCTCTTTGGTCGCTAAGTGTCACATGTGATACAGAAAACAATTAGAAAATTCACACCATATCACATGCAGTTTTTGAATACAGACTTTTGGTGTAAAATGGTTGATTTAAACACTTTCAGATTCTAGTGATCCCACTTTTATCCAAATGATTCTACACTCAATTCCAAACCAAATAGTATACACATTAAAACTCCACTTTCCTTGAATTCTGGCATTACATTACACTAAATGATTTCTAGCTCAGAATAAGGATGGAATGTTTTACCTCTGAAAACACTGTACACAGTTTCCACAGTTCGAAGACTATCGACTTCCTTTCTCCAAAGTCTACCGCTAACTTTAAAATTACCAATCAGTCTTGTCTGGTTCTTTAAATAACTGAAGATTTCAATTGGACACTAGTTAGTGACTAGTACAATGTGTCTAATCCTTCGTTTGATGCCTACTGAATTCTGTCAATGAAGCTGACAGTGTGACTACCATTCTATGTGGCTCACCGTCACGGTGCATTATAATATCTCTGAATACAGCAATGGGTGACGCGGGTTCGAATCTCAGGAGGGATATGAATTCTTTCAAGAAAGCAGATACCCTTTACTGATGAGTACCAACTAGCACGAAAGCTAGGTCAAGTAGAGCTTCCTACCGATTACCTTCAACCATCTAATATCAATAAACTAAAGATTGAACGAAAAGTCTTCAGCCCCTTATTCTTTCCCAACCTTTAATGATATTCCTAAAATTCCTAAATAGCAGAAAATACTCACTGTGACACGCAGAAAGAAAGCCAAGATAAATGATCTAGCGAAGGGAGTCTTCTCAACAAATTCATTACTATATACAACTGATTGTCTGGGATGAGGGGTTGCACACCACTCTAATCAATAAGCAGTACTCGCTACCTAACTAGATCGATATGATCTAAACACCGTTTTAGCTATTTCGCTTGTCTGCGGCCAAGCCCATCAGCGCTGCACCCAGTTCGACTCAGCTCAGACAGCCGAATCCACCTGATCGAGCCGGTCATACCATAAATCAAATTCACAATTTACAGACTGATTAGCAATTAGCAGTTTACACAGTTGGAGTGGTGACATTTCACCATAGTTTCCTTTAGAAACCGACTTGTTCCGATCACAG